AGTCACCCAGAGATTTTAACCTTTGACAGGTAGCCAGTGCTGTTATTAGCCAGAAAAGTGAATATGGGTGCATAAACAGTTTTTGTGCTGGTAGATGATGGCTGTTATATTCTGTTCTCTTGATGTGTCACTGGAATAAATATTTAATACAGTTGTATTATAGTATATAGTTTGTATAGTATATAGTATATATTATAATATAGTTTGGAAATATGTATCTAGTTCAAAAGAAGGATCTAGATTAAGATATAAATTTAGGGCTTCCCTGGTGGCGCAGTGGTTGAGCGTCCACCTGCCGGTGCAGGGGACACGGGGTCGTGCCCCGGTCTGGGAAGATCCCACATGCCGCAGAGCGGCTGGGCCCGTGAGCCACGGCCGCTGAACCTGCGCGTCCGGAGCCTGTGCTCCGCAACGGGAGAGGCCACAACAGTGAGAGGCCCGCGTGCCGCAAAAAAAAAAAAAAAAAAAAAAGATATAAATTTAAGAGAGTTACCACTGTATAAATAACAGTTGAATTCATTGAAATAGTGTATCTATCCCTAAATGGCTGTATCCACTGGGTTACTTTTGGTAATTGAAAATTACATAAATAATAAAAGGGTTGAATATACTATAATAAAAAGATCCAAGTTAGTAAAATGATTCTAGGATTATTTCATTCAAGCATAGCAGCATCACCAAGGACCACCCAGGTTTTTTCCATCTTTTAACACTGCCATTCTTTTTCTGTTGGGTTGTCCTCTTAGGCAGTTTCTCTCCTCATGGTCCTAAGATGGCTGCCATTGTTCTGCTTAACAATTCAAACCCAAAGTTACCTGCAAAAAGTACGTGTTTTCACCTGGGTGTCTCTTTTTCATCAGCCTGGGAAAACCTTTCCCAGAAGCTCCCCAGCAAACTTAGTGTCTTGTCTTGTTGTCCAGAATTGCATCAGATGCTTATTGCTAACCCTCTCATTGGCAGGGGGGATGGAAATTGACACTATTGGCTTAGACTAGAGCTTTCTAACCCTGGTGTTAGGCATCCTTTTGTCATATCTCTTTGGAAGAAGCTTTTTTCCCCATGCCTTTTGGTTCTCTGTTCTCTAGACAACTAAGTTTCACATCACTGAGTTTTTGCTATTCAGTACTTCAGATCAGCTAATATTTGTTGAAATCCTACTCTGTGTCATTAGCTGTGCTAAGTTCTAGGATATAGCAATGAATAAGAAAGTTATAGTTTGATACGGAAATATGCTTAAGCGGAAGAGTGCTATCATAGAATTATACACTAAAGTTCATTTGTATTTGGGGTTTAATGCCACTGTTTATATCTTTAGTTTTATGAGAAAAGGCATCTTGAGTTTCAAAATCAAGCTTATATTCAATTTATAAATGAACTTTTGGAACATTTAGAATATAACTTGTTAATACGTTTGACCCCCCTTTCTGTATTAAGTGGATTACATCCTTTATTATAGAAATGCATGATAAACTAATCTAAATTATACTGTTCATTTGAGTTACAGCTAAAACTGTATTATGTTTTTCTGAAGCATAATGTTTGAGTTTTTTAGCTAATGTACTGAAAGTTTTAATAGTAATACCTTTAGTTTAAGAGCCCAACTGAAATGTTTTGTAAAATGATTATTTTGTAATTTGCTATTTTTAAAAATGGTTCTATAATTGCAGCTATGATGTTTACAGCAGTACTTATACAGTATGTGGGGTGCTTTTTATGAATGCTAAGAGAGGGGAAATGAAGAAAGGGGATTTGGAGTGGTGGAAGGAAAAATGTACAATCAGTATTGCTGATTTTGTGAATACTAAGAAATCTACTTTTTGACATCTGGTACAAATAGAAAAGCAATCTTACATTTTGTCTTAGACTGAGTATTTATCAAAAGCATATTTAAAATAGTCCCTTTGCAAATCTTACTAATATAGGAGTTAATAGGTAATGTCTAACACCGCAAAGATAACTAGAATATCCACAATTGATGTTTGTCACTGATGGATTCTGTATGGTTAGTGATCTTTAAAGTATCCCAGTGCTTTAAGATTTAACCACTTTAATAATTTTGAAAACCGAGAGGGATGTGTACATTTTTATGGCAAAAAAAGATTTTTGTAAAGGCAATATGGGATTAAAATGAACTTTTCCCATGTTTGCAAATGCTTATTAACTTTGAGGAAATTCCAGTGTTCGCTCTGAATTACAAAGTACTAGAATATATCCAGAAAGATTCACCTTTCATTTATTATGAGTCATTAAGAAGCTCTAATGTGTTTTTAAAAGAATTACCTTTCCTTAATATGTTTTCTAGAACTAAGAAGCTTGAAAATTTCAGGCACAAAAATCTTTTTTTTTTTTTTTTTGCGGTACGCGGGCCTCTCACTGCTGTGGCCTCTCCCGTTGCAGAGCACAGGCTCCGGACGCGCAGGCTCAGTGGCCATGGCTCACGGGCCCAGCCGCTCCGCGGCATGTGGGATCTTCCCGACCGGAACACGAACCGGTGTCCCCTGCATCGGCAGGCGGACTCTCAACCACTGTGTCACCAGGGAAGCCCAGGCACAAAATCTTTGGTGAAAATATTAATCCTTACAATTGTTTAGTGTTTGGTTCTGACTGGATCCCTTGTCACTGTTAAACACAGTTTATAGTGCTAAAAGCCTGTGGCAAATTACCTTATAAATTGAGTGATTAAAGTTGTTGCAGGCATTTTGCCTATGTAAATCCTATTTCTGTGCCTGTACATATTTATAGATCTCTGCTTAAAGGACTGTAGTTGCAAAGGTTAGGAAACGGTTTACTTTGACTCACACAATTTCTAGTATGTAAAAAGTGACTTGCAGACCTGAATCGTGAAGCACATCCTGTCCTTTGATTGCCTTTTATTTTCCTCTTAGTAATGAAGTGAAATCTTACTTGGTTTTCCTTAGCCAGTCTTAAATTCAATCCTTAGAAAAGGTTTTCTGAAGTGTATGATTTGTCATGTATTTGTACATATGAGAGAATTGAGGGAGGATAGATAATTCAGAGTCTTGGACTTTGCAGATGGTATATTTGAAGATTCTTTGTGATTATGTATTTTCCTTTTTTTTAAATTAACTTTAGATTTAGCGTAAAGCTTGTAGCTTTTTTTTCACACCAAGGAAGCAGTGTTATAATAAACAATGGTTGATAAGTGGTTTACATGCTAATTTTATTTATTGTTTGATCCATTGTAAATATCTGGTAGAATTAGAATCAGGCCATATTTTTTTTTTAATAAATTTATTTATTTTTGGCTGTGTTGGATCTTCATTGCTGCACGCGGGCTTTCTATAGTTGTGGCGATTGGGGGCTATTCTTCGTTGCGGTGCGTGGGCTTCTCATTGCGGTTGGCATCTCTTGTTGCAGAGCGTGGGCTGTAGGCACACGGGCTTCAGTAGTTGTGGAGCACGGGCTCAGTAGTTGTGACTCATGGGCTCTAGGGCGCACGGGCCTAGTTGCTCCGCAGCATGTGGGGATCTTCCCAGACCAGGGCTCGAACCCATGTCCCCTGCATTGGCAGGCAGATTCTTAACCACTGCGCCACCAGGGAAGTACGAATGCGGGCCATATATTTTTAAACATAGTCACTTTGATGGACTATTTAAAACTTTATGAGACTAGGTTAATCTGAGCTTTGTTTAATGTAGTGATTGCCTCCCCTCTCTTCCATACACCCTTAGGGAAGAACGGAGTTATTGGCAAAGAATGGCTTTGGAGGAAAATCTTTATGCCATTTCTAAAGTGGAAACACAATGCATTTATTTTTTGATTAGTATAAGGTAAATTTTTTAAGACTATGATTATCTCAGAGAAAAAAAAACACCTAAATACCAGGTCTCCATTACTGCTCTCCCTGATTTCTCTGAGTGATGGTCTAAGAGTTTTATAGTCATATGAATACCCTGAAAAATGTCAGGGGTCTGGTGAAGTTGTAGGTGACTAGTGCATTGAGAAGACTGTTAAAAGGCTTCTAAATGCAGACAGAGCATTACTAATTGCTTTCAGGGTCAGTCTGTCTTTAGTTGGACCATGAAAGATTTAGCATGGCCCTATGGCAGCCTGTCTGCTGAGTGGAGACTCTTGTCCGTAAGAAAGGCTATCTGATATGCTAGACCGTTTCAGGTTGCCCCAGTTTACATGAATTTAGTCATTATTGCCAAGACTACTAAACCTCAGTGTGACACAAGTGATACTTTGAAATGGGCTTGAAGACAAAGGCATTTTGACCTTGCAGTGGGACATAAGTAATATTCATACAGCTTAAAATTTTTCTTTTTAAAATATGAAACAGAATACTGTACTATTTGACATTTCAGTTAAAAGATACATTCAATGAAATTATTTTTATGATCTGTAAGTAAACAGCACACCTGCCTTTCAGTAAATTAAAATTTTTAACGTTTTTCCTCGTTTAGATTTATGAACGTTGTCTCTTAAAGCAGTAGGGTACTAATGCAGTAGTAACACAGTTGAAACCTATGCCATGGACTTAGACCAAGCAGTGCAATTAATTCTTGACCCTCACAATTCCTAATGTTCTAGGCTGAAGTTTGAAATTAAAACTGCTTACTGAGACTTTGTGATAGAAAGTGAAATACTGGCTGGGTGGTCCAATTTTTGTTCAAGTAGGAATCTGAATATTGTAGAATTGTAAATTTTAGTGCTGCTTCTGGCTGTTATCATTTTTCAATTTGAGATGTGATTTTTTTTTCTTCAAAAGCTTAGGCCGATGACAGAAATTTTACATGTGAGTAATTTTTTCTGCAGAACTACTAGGTTGTAAAGTTGAAAATACTCAAAATGTGAAACTTCTTTGGGCAGAAGTTTGTAAAGTGATAGATTTCTAAAGTACTGTAGAAGTTTTCGTTGACTTTACATTGAAAATGTATAGTTTTATGCATGATAAAATTTTGGTATTTCTTCTACATGTGTTATTCTGACAAATAAACATTCTTTCAGTCTTGAATATGTTCCTTTTTTCTAAACAGATTTATGAAAATATGCATCAGTTTAATACTGTCTTGGAATTCATGAGATGGAAGCATAGGTCAAAGCTGTTTGGAGAAAATTGGAAGTACAGTTTTATCTAGCCACATCTCTGAGGTAAGAAAAAGACTTTTAAGAAAATAATTAGAATAATATGAAAATTCTCATTTCTTAACAATTGAAAATAGTCCTTCTGTATTACCACTGCAGCTTTATGTTAGCTTCTTTATTTTTTAATCACCTTCCTTATGAGTTCATAAGTATCAATAGTTATATTTTTCTCTCCTTATAAATGTTGAACCTCTTCAGGAGTAAAAAGTATTTATTACTAATACACCTTTCTTTAATTGTAGCAAATAAGCATTAAATGATGTATGTAATAATTTCTTTCCTCTCATGATGACAAAACAGGTTAGAATGGAAGATTATATTAAAATGAATGTTTACATTATTCTGAAACTTTCACATATTTAGAATTTAGGATAAAATTGTTACTTTGAATAATAGATCTTTGGAGGTAGAATTTATTCAAAGAAGTGGGAACTGCAGTAACATAAGGGACAGGGGAGAAGAAGTCATTCTAAGACAATATGTACAGAGAAATCAAGTTCATTATTTTCAAATCCATAGAGACAGATTATCAGGTAAAAGGTTTAATCCTTCACGGATCTGTACTTTAAAAAAATAAAAACCAGGGGGCTTCCCTGGTGGCGCAGTGGTTGGGAGTCTGCCTGCCGATGCAGGGGACACGGGTTCGTGCCCCAGTCTGGGAGGATCCCACATGCCGCGGTGCGGCTGGGCCCGTGAGCCATGGCCGCTGAGCCTGCACGTCCGGAGCCTGTGCTCCGCAGTGGGAGAGGCCACAACAGTGAGAGGCCCACGTACCGCACAAAGAAGTAAAAAATAAAAACCAGAACATACACTTTTGTGAAGTGGTCTATACTTTTTCCTCTTTAAATAGTAGGTTCTGCTTCCTTATAGCATTCATTCATCATCCTTCTATCCCTTCCAAGCTGGTCTATTTGTTCTTTTGAGAAATATTCATGACTTTCTAATTGTCTTTTTTTAGGTTTCATACTCTTTAATCACTGTAGTAGTTGCCATTTTTCCTTTCATGAAATGGTGCTGGCTTCTATGACCCTGTGCTCTTCTAGTTCTACTTCCTTAATTACTCCTTCAAAATTTTTTTCTTTCTTCTCCTATTATTTTTTTAATTAAAGAATAGTTGTCCTCCTATGATTAAATAATGACCGTCCCTAAGGTTTTATAATCGAAATTCTTGTTTTTCCTTTTTATGTCTTTCCTAATCTCTTGATTTCAGCAATTACCTCTAAAATGATCTCTCTCAACATCATATCTCTGCTGTGACACTTTTCTAAGATTTGACACGTATTTTCAACTGCTTGCTTCACACTCAGTGTTCCCATTTCTATTACTGGACCTCTTTGTCACCCACGCTCAAAGTCTCAGTGCCAGATCTGATTCTTCATCTTTTCCTTCCTACTCTTAATAAGAGATCAGTCCTATCAATTTTACCTCTATAATATATCATGAATGTTTTCATCATCTCCTTTCTAATCTCCTCGTCATCATCCAAGTTTAAGTTCTTATATCACATTTCATCTGAAATATTGCAGGACTTTTCCCACTTTGTGCCTCTCCTCACTCTCTTTTCCATCTGTGTGTTGCTACCAGCTTAAATTTTCTCAGAGGTAATTCTGCATGTTCCGTCAGTAACTCTTTGTTAGCCTACCAAAGTAAGGACAAACTCCTCTGGTAATAAAGTCTCTCAACAGTGTAGCATTAAGTGAGTGACAGCTTTGCCTGCATCCGTCCATTTCTTTCTCCCTTTAAACACTTACTAAACACCTACTCTACTGCAGGTACTGTGTTAGGTGCCGAGAATATGCAACATTCGGTAAAATGAGCTCCTTACTTTACTCTCAAAAAATAATCCGTTTAGAGATGGGTATACAAAGAGTTAATGCGAGTGCAACTTGAAAAGTGCTATATGAAATTGGAAAAGTGTATTGGTATCATCTAGAAAGGCTCCACCAACATTGTTAGAGGCGAGAATTGTCAGGGAGGCTTCACATAGGGAATGGCATTTGAGTAGAGTTTTAAAGGATAAGTAGAAGATTGCTGAGTGTAATTTGGAGGCAATAGAATTTCATGCATAGAGCCCAGTGTAAGCAGGGGAAACTTGAAATGTATAGAGTGTGCAAAAGACAGAAGAAATCATTTTGTATGGTTTGAATTCAGGACGGGAGAGAGGGTTTGAGGGACAAGGCTGGAAGAGAGCTTGTTTGTGAAGAACTCTGGATGCCATGATGAGGAGTTTAGACTTCCTTTTGTGAGTAGTTGGCAGTCTTTGAAAAATTTTAACAGAGGTATTTTGGATCGTAATCTTGTTTTGTTACAATTAGCATGGCAGTGATGTGAATGATAGTTTGGAAGGGGGAGATACCAAAAGCAGAGAGACAATTAGGATACTCTTAATTGTTGCAAGCAAGAAATAATGAGAATCTTGATCAAGGTAGGGATCAACTTACCTGAAATTATGAAAAACTTTAAGCATTGATTATTTAGCAAATGTTTAATTTTCTTCTTCTATACCCCTTGCATGTATGATACTCTTCAGCCGATGATTTGAAATTGTCCTGTTTTTTCTCCCTTCTGCTCATATTATTTTTTCTCTAGGCATGTTTTTCCCTCTTTATCTAGTTTAAGGTCCCAGAGCACTTATTTTTGTCCTTCAGAATATTACTTTTTTGGGTCCCTCTTAAATTATGTAACAACAAGTCACAAAGGAGGAATCAGAAAATAAAAAACATGGTCCCCAACCTCTGCTTATAGTCATATCAGTAAAGTATGTATATAAGTAATACAAGTAATGATAACCAGCATCGCCAGGTGAAAGTGATAAATGTCAAAGGAGTCATTTATTACTTCCAGTCAGAATTCTCTAGCACTGAGAAGTACAGATAGAACATAGAAGAGGTTATTTGATCTGGGCTTTGAAAGATGAGTAGAATTTGATAGGTAAAGAAAGAATTAAAAGATGTTTCTGGAAAAGCTGATTGATAGAAAATGGATATTTCCATAGGAGTGTAGAAGAGGTCTTGGAGAGGGTAGGAAGTATGAAAACTATATTTTAGGGGAATTACTCTAGCAGTGATGTATGAACAAACATCATTAGAGAAATGGAGTGAGGAGTCAGGGATCTTGGAAGGCTGTAGGAGTAGTTAGGCATGAGGTAATCAGAATTCAGTCAGAGTGGTGATAGTGGAAATAGAAAAGAAGGACTAAATGGAGTAGGGTATGTTATGAAGGAAGAAGGGACACTGATTTGTGACTAGATGTTGAAAAGAGATGATGATGCCCACATTTTTTATCTGGAAAGCAGGGATAATATTGGGCATCGTTAATAGCAAACATAAGTAATTCTTCAAATCTAGTTAAATCCGAGTTTTCTAAGTTTAAAGAAACACTAAAGTTGATGTTCTGCTGTATTGTTGGCCTCCTCACTTGCTTACATACAGCAAATATTTTTGCACATTGTTGTTCAAGCCTTAGCATGCTGAAAAGGAGGTATTGTGAAAAAAGCAAAGTATTGTCTCTTTAGAAGAGTAGTTTTTAGAGAAATAAATACTATTCTGCTCATTTGTCTCTTTCGTTATTATTTTAAATGCTATATAAGATTTAGTAAAATTTAAGAATGTTTAAAGTATTTCTGCAGGTATAATTCTGACACTTACTGAAAGATGGTATCTCATTTAATAGAATTATTGCTAAATGAATGGAGACCTGTGAAGACGCTCATTAAGCAGAATTTGATGGTTCCGCTTTCACGAATAAACATTAGTATGATAACGTCCTTAGAGAAATACCTTATAGTGAGGTAATATTACCTTATAATATAAAACTAACTACTTTTAATGCTTTTATTAAAGTTCTTTTCAACTCTTAATTGATAGTTGATTTAGGGCTTTGCCATATTCAAAAATATTTCAACACTATGTTGAAAATAAAGTAGTCACTATTTGTTTTGTAATTACGCATTGTGTAAAATTGGAAAACATCACATTATTGAGGAAGGAAACATCACATTAAGAAAAGGCTTTATGATTAAACTATATTTTCAAGTTATTTTCTCTAACATAAATTTGGTTAAGCTCTCAAATTAATTAATATTTATACCATATATATTGTGTATGCATGTGTGTGTATAGATATATACGTATGTATATTTTAAGACCTCCCCTATCATTCTTATCTCAGAACAGTCCCAACAGTGTTTCCCAGAGTGTTGAGTGTGTATCACTGGTAGTATTCAGAATGATTTTAGGTGGCACACAGATGAATCTGTAAGCTTTTCCAGTTATATATTTATTGTGACAAGTAATATTTAACGTAGTGACAATTATGTTCACCTTTATTTTCTCTCTGTTTTGAATTCTGGTTCAGAAATTAGAGTTAATCATACCTTCAATTTATCGCAGTAAAATTACTATCTTTGTTCTTTATAAGGCCCTTGAGTTGATATATTTTATTTTGTCTTCTTTATTCTTGACTTCCACTCCCATTTTCCTTTCCTTCTGCCATAGGAAACAATTCTAATTTGTTTGCTCTATATCTTTGAGTGAATGTATCTTTCTAAAACATAGTGTTGTCGGTGTGTATGTGTTTAATTGACTTAATTAGGCTTTGTTACAGATATTCTGCCCTTTTTTTTCCCCACTATTTTCTTTAGCACCAGAAAGTTATATCTCTCCATGTTGCTGTGTACATTCTTACTTGTTGCTTCTAACTGATGTTTAGTTTCCCATAGTGTACTGCACTACATTCTTCTACTTAGAGGCAACACACTCTTCTTCAAAGCACAGGCAGTGGAGCAAAGTTTCTTCAGTTTGAGTTCTAACTGCACCACGTCTTAGTTTGGGTTTCTTTGAAAGTAGAGCCTGAGAAAGGGACTTATGGCTTGGGTAGTTTATTTGGGAGATGATCTAAAGAAGCAGAAATGAGAGAATGGGAAAAGTGAGAGAGAGAAGAAAGTAAAGTTACATAAAATTTGTTCATGAGCTAGTTATCACTGTGAGCAACTGGGATTCAATTTC